GCCATACTGGTGAAATATCCAGCATCACAAACAGCGCAAAGTGGTCCAGTGTAACCAGCTTGACAACTAGAGTGAGTTCCACCAAGACAAGATTCTCCATTCGGACAAGCATAGGCGATTGGGATAACACCTTCAAACGACCTYTTCCCAGATTTATCAWAGGAATCGTTCAAGTCTTTTTTGAAAGTCTCGTAATCTATCTGAGATTCCTTGGATTTCCAGACCCAATAAAAACCAGCTTCCAAATCCACAGTCTCATTTGAACACACGTAACCTTTGGTGCATATGACACAAGGTCCAAATCGATCAAGACGGTAATAATCTTGCAAGCAGCTGCAAGCACGAAACTTAGCAAATGCTTTAAGGTTTGTACCTGTGACGAATGAAAGAGGTTTAAGTGTTAGTCGTATCGTTCCTGTCATCCAGAAAGGCAACCTTCATGTCATTGTTCAAAACTTCTATTCCCGGCATATCAGGAACCCACTAGTAGGAACAAATGCTGGATGTAGGACCATTCTTAGAATTACCCTTTCTGTGTTGTGCCTAATGTTTTCCCATCTCAACTACGTGTCATTCCCTAGAGTACCATTTCTTTGCTTAACAGTTGCGCATGAGAAGACAACTCAAACAAAGAATCTTATTCTCAAGAGAATGACATGTGGTCTTAAATAGATCTAATCGACTGTTTTCCCAATTTCAGCCCACTTGTCATTCCCTAGAGTATCATTTCTTTGTTAACGGTTGCACTTGAGAAACATGAATGTGGATAAAACTCAAACAAGGAATCTTATTCTCGAGAATGAAATGTGGTCTGAAATGGGTAAACATTACACCCAAGTTACACCATACCTTTTGGACATGATTGACAGTCAGTCTGTGATTTTCCTGGTGCTCTGTCAGGCTTAACGTACGAACCAGGCGGGCATTGTTTRCACCCAAGYCCGTATATCTTCTCTCCCGTGTAACCCATCTCGTCTTGATAGAATCCACCTGTGCAATGCATAAGTAATATTTCAAAGCCGACAATGAGGACTGGACGGGATTTCAAGTATAAGCAATTAGTTTAGGAGCTAATCCAATCCGACATTTGAGGCTTTGAAATGACTTCTCATGCTCTTTAATTATTCGACTTGGAGTAACTGGAACAAAATTAATTCAATCCTAGGACTGAATTAATTTTGTTCCAGTTACTCCAGACTAAATGCATTCCTTTCACAGGACTTTACCAGGTTTCAAGTAACATCATGTGACCCAAAAATAGCCCATTGATTGGCTGGTTTATGAGGAAGTATTTTCAAAGTATTTTTTACTGTTAAAGTACAGACCCAATAGCATAGTTCCTTTCCCTTTACGATGTAAAAAGGAAATATATAAAGATGATTATGATATAAAGGAGCTTAAGCATCGACGACGAAAGACACGACGACGACGACCGGAAGGTACTGCGCATGTGCGTACAAGAGGATAGGTCGTCCTGTCTTCGTCACATAAAAAACGTAAATCATTTAACTATTTTACGTGTACGAAGTTATTTTTTTGTCGTAAATTTACGGTAAATCCGAAAATATTTTATAGACTAAATATGAGTACATTTATTGTGTTTTTTTTCGAAATAAATAGTAAATAAAAGGTGATCTCGAAAAGCGCGCAATGCATGATTTTCTGACTTGAAAAAGAATCAATCCCTAACATGACCGCGTGCCTAGGGTCCTAGACAAAACATTGCCGAGAAGGACGCCATTTTGTTTTGGGTTGGATTT